TACATTTTTGGATTTAAATAAAGATTTCTGTTATTCTAAAAAATGTAATGTATTTAAAATGCATAGAAGAAATTTGCAAATTTTATTTCATTAATAATATGAACATTGGGAATAAATATGAAATGCTATATGGTCAGGGCCAGTACCAGAGCTAGTGTGGGAAAATTTTTAGGATTTAGTGTACCACTGAGCAATAGTATCTAGAAATGGCAACATTTTTTAGAACTTAGGACAGGCACTCAGCGGCAGATTTAGGGGCAGAAAAATTTTAGAATCTAGGGAGACACTAGGCAGCAGAATTTAGGACCCACAGAGATTGCATCAGGTGGGAAAATGCTTAATCAGCCCTTTAAAATATGCTTTGAGACATGAATCTTTTAAATTTGTAGTTTTCAACTTCTCTAATAATAGAAAAGATTATTTCTGAAATGCCTGTCCATTGTGACAATATTAGAAGCACTTTTGTTATTTTCCGTCTTTGCATATAGTGGAAAGAAGAGAAAAATAAAGGGAAGATAAACATGTTAAAAGATAGACTTCAAAAATAAGAAGTAGAAAATTCAAGTAATTAAGTTTTCATTTTCCTCCAAATTGTAAGAAATTCATCATAAACTTCCTGTAAAATACATCCATTATATGTTAATATCCTAAAGACACTTTTCATTTTGTCACATTGTTCTGGAATCATAGGTCTATAAATCTTGCTTTCAAATCCTTTAAACCTTCCAAGGTTCAATGTTTAAACCCAAAAGAAAAATTATCCTTAAAAATTCTGAAACAGCAAAAAGCCAGATGTTTTTTGAAAAGCTATTTCAGAGAAGAAAAAGTGTCAAATGTATTTTACAGAGAAAACTGTGCACATTCCGAGAATTTTGGATATTCTGAGACAGTTACATGGGGGAAAAACTCTTGCTATGAAAAAACATTAGACATTTTAAAATAATTACAACAGCTATTTTGCTTTTTCTAAGAAGTGTTACAGAAAATTGTACTTTACAGCATTTATTATCTTTTCATTTTTCAGATTCAAAACATTCTAATAATAAGTTGCCAAAATAGAAAGTAATGTCACTATATAATATGACAGGAAAAAATGTTTTATTTTAATGTTATTTTTTAAATATAATTTTAATATATTATCATTATTTTAATGAAATTTATCTATAATGTTTTAAAAAAATCTTTGAAAAGTTCACAAATCTCAGAATTAAAAATTGCGTATAGAAACTGATCTTAGAAGTACCAAAATGTTGATAAGTCGCCAAATTTAGAGCTGTTTAATAAAAGAATTCCCATCTCCAAAATGGAAAAGTTGTTTATGAGGTTTTCATTAACAAAAAATAATTTCGAAATGCTTACATTTCATGGTCTCGCCCAGAAACTTGAGTACTGCATCATTTATATTGGAAGTACGAACAAATTCAAATGATAATCCATCAAATACATATCTGTCAGTGAAACACTAATAAATATTCCTCCAAAATGTTAATTTATACTAAAAATGACAGTCGTGACAGTCGTGAAAGAAAACAAATTTCAGATGATTAAAATTACAGACCTTCTGGTTTCAGTCAGAACTAAGGACTTTTGAGGATAAAAAACCCTTTCCAAAAAACCCAAGGAGTACCCTTAAGTATTGCACAAACTCAGTATATATATACACACACACACTCATATATACATCTAATTTAGTGACATAGGAATCATTAAGATCTGCAATAAGTACAGTGGACATTTAAAAAAGAACTGTCGGAAAAATAACTGTAATGTGTGTGTGTGTGTGTGTGTGTGTGTGTACAGCAAAATGTAGGAGGGCTATCTTATCTGCCTAAGGTGAGGGATGCCTTTGTGGAGGACCTTTTTAAGGGAAACAAGGTCACATACACATTACACATAGAGAAAACCGCAAAAACACCATGCAACCAGCCTGTTTGTCGGCATTCGAACCCCGGACTGAGTTACCAGTGTACAAAGACTTTACCACTGGGCTGATGTTCAGCTAAATAACTGCACGAGAACATAGTAGCCACTTATATTTATCACTTCTGAAATCTATTAAAAAAGACAACACTTTTGTGCTAGAAGGAAAGACTATTTTCTAAGTATATATAAATGTCTAGTTTTAAAACTCTTAAAAAAAAACTGAAAAACAAACAGCAGAAAAAGAAACACAAAATTTACAGTAAAACTTTTAACCGATCTCTAGTAAAAGTTATTAACTGAAAATTATTGTCATAGTTGAATTCATAAAAAAAAAAGTTAAGGTCAGTAAACATAATACAATACACTTTCCTTGCTAATCACACTAAATAAAGAGAAAAAAAAAATACATATAATTAACACTACATAAAGAGATTTGTTACATGAGTAATGGCGGAGATTAATAAATCAAAAAACAAACAAGAACAGACTACAATTTATATAATACTTTCTCAAATAAAATTTTCATCACAAATGCTCTATATTTTATTCATAAAACTGAAGATCCTCATGTGACAACATTTTATAGTCTTGTAACGATTATATTAATTTTTATTAATAGTTAGATTTTGAGTTAAACTTCCTTTCCTATCGATTCTTAACTTACCACTTCTGGCCAGAATGTAGTTTTAGAATCACATCTGAATACAAAATGAGGAAGAGCGGTCTTAACCGCAAAGTTCTACAGTCTTAGGAAGAGAGATACCAGATACTCTGGTTGCACGCATCCGCCTTCGTAGGCTACTCTCTCGTAAGCTATTATTACGCTCGGCCGTACTTTAGGCCCTTGATAGCTTCGCAGTCTATTAACATTAAGGGGCCAACTCTGTTAGAATTTTAATAGCTTCGGCTATATCTCTTTAGTTAAGATTAGTTTAATTTTTAGTCTCTTAAGTTCAAGCCCAAGTGTCGGCTTTATTGTTCACTCCAAGACGGAGTTTTGTTAATTTTTAGTTGGAATAATAAAGGGTTATTTTACACTTCTATCTTCTTGTTTCCTATCACACGACTCAAGCGATTACTCGCTTATCAGTTCTTAAAGGTCTTCACTTCCAACAATAGCTTAGAATTACACAGTGAGGAATCCTACAGTCTCTTTATTATATAGACTGTAATTTAAGCAGAGAACCAACTAATGCTTCATATAAGCAATTAAGAAATAGTTTTAAAATGCTTTTATGACTGAATGCAAGAGAATGTTCCTAATACAAGTTTAAGTTCAAAAAGTTTTTAGCTCCACGTATCATTTATTCTCCAAGCATTCAATGATTTAGCTTCCCAACCCTTAACTTTCCAAAAAGGCTGAAGGTGAATGGTATTCATGATTATAATTAAAAAAAAAATAACCCTCCCACTTTGTACTATGACTTTTCTTCCAATGCATATACATACTATAACCCCTTGCCTGTGGAATATATTTGAGAAAAACGTGCCAAAAATGGAATTTTTTTCCTCTTTAACTTTGTTCGTTATCATCATCAAAATGTTAGAAATAGATTATTTTAAAAAAATTTATATTTTAAACAAAATAATTACTAAATTCAATATTTTCACATATATGGAAAATGATAATGGATTACAGCAACATTGTGCTTAAATTATAACAAAATGAATCAAATGACAAAATTTTCAAGATAAATATAATAAACTAATAAAACAATATTTATATCAACTGTCATGAATTTCAGGTCTTGCAGACTTTTACGGTGGATTTTTACATGAACGGGCCAAGTTTTGTTAGTTTTGCATTACAGTGTGTTTCAAGGTCGACTTCTTCTTTGTACACAAAATGTAAATATTTTCTTATCATTTGAAATCTATCGTAGGACATAACTTTGCGAAAGAATTCAGTTTCAAGACATGTCTTTTTTGACCAAAATATTGAGACATCAGGTTTCTGAATAATAACCTGTAAAACATTGAGCAACACAAATATTTTCATTTCGTGGTCATTTGCAGGCACTGAAAATTTGGCTTCAGATTTTGGCTTTTTGGCCTCAAATGTTGCATTTCAGTGCATTGCTGTGCATATCTATTAGTCTCTTCCGTAATGGTGTGAATCAAATTGTCATCAAAAAATAGTCCAAAATATTGTTTTTCTTGAGTAAAAATAGAAGTGTCAACTGTTGCACCCACTTGTGGATGCTGGAATGGGAACCTTACAGTGGCTGGAGGAAGGTAATTCAAATGTAGTGGCATCCAGGTTCAGTATGAAAGAGTTTCACTTTCGTTGTCACTTTCAGAATAGTCATACTCTTCTGTTGAAATACTGGTATTTGAGCATAAAGAGCTTAACGAGTATTTTTCATCATCGTCTGATTCCGACATTGCGAACATAATGTGATTTGAATGAAATTTGGGAAGAAATGCAAAATTGCAAAAATCCGACAAGTGGTGCGAAACTGCTGAACATTTCGTGGAAACGTATCGCGATCTATTAGTAAAATGGGAAATTACATATTATGCATTGGACAAACTAAGTTTGGGCATCACTGAATTTAAACATCGATTTTCCTTTTGCCTGAATTCTGGTCAGACATTCCAAAATTGCCGCATCTGCATTGCCGAACTGAGTTCGGGCGGTACAGGCAAGGAGTTAATTGGCTAAACACATTTCAAGATGCAAGTTTGTATATTTGAAGGTATCATAGCAAATATTTTTTAAGGTATATATGTGGCTTAACTACTTGAAGGGTTAATCTGAAACCGGATTTTATTTAGCAAAGCATTATTATCTCTCAGCACCTCAGGAAGAGAAAGATTTATTATTAAACCAGTATGCAAAAGTTGAATTAAACCAGTATGCAAAAGTTGGAAATGGCTTCTTATTGAATATGATAAAACATTATAATTACCAAATAAAATATATATTGTATATATAAAAATTCAAATTTTCCTGCACAAAACAAATTGAAAATTAAAATACAAGATGTTCTAAGAAAAATTATAATTCTGCACAAGCCAACTTAAAGGAAATATACTTTTGGAAACTATAGGTTTAACTTCAAATGATTACTAACCATTTTCCTCATGTATATCCCTTTCAAGTTTCAACTTGTCTTTGGCCCTTTGCAAAATACCTTCTTCAATTGTATTTTCACTGATAAATCTAATCACTCTGACATCTCTGTAAGAAATAAAACATGTAATTAAAACTCAAAAAGTAAAAACCTTTAACAAATAACTTTAAAGAATCATAGGATTACTCTTTTACGGTATCACTCTAAAAATTATTCCAAATAACAGAAGTTAACACAGAACTTCTTGCTTTCACATTTAAAAGTGTAGCAAAGTCTCATTAATTTGAAATTAGATAATTTAAAATCTCATTTAATTTTGAACAAATGCTGAATGAAGGCTTCAGTATATATTAATTAGGAATAAATGATATTCAGAATACTTTCAATAACTCAAACCCTGATAATTTGAACAAACTTTGTAACTAATACTTTGAAACTCATAATTTTAACAAAATTGCTCAAATTATCAATTTGAGTAGTTTCGTCAGTTTTTAAGAATTCAAATTTAATAACAGCTTATTGTACAACCCCTTAAAAAAATCTGGTTTTACCAGCTATGCCAGATTGTTATAATCAATGGAAGAAAATGATTTATCAACCAGATTGTATTCTCACAAGCTGCTTGATAATGAATTGAGAAATTTATATGACTGACTTTCACACAAATGAAAGCATAACACTTTTTTCTTATACTTTTATTTTAACCTAACCAATTATTTTATCACTAGACTAACCAATTTTTTTTTTTTTTCCCTTTAAGCCTAAATGCAAAAAATGAGACGGTTTGGAAACTGAAAAATACACACACACTTATCCTGCTTAATAAGATGTAGGTTCTCCTTCGTAGTTAAAACAGTTTTGATGAGCCAGGGCATGCATTCAGTTAGATGTTGATAAGATTACTTGTAGTATATCATACTCTGACTGCAATAGAAGCCCACCTAATTCTTGTAAATTGCACAACTGTGATACTGATGCCTTACATGCTTTGTTCAAAGTGAAACTAAAAGTCTTGATACAATTATGTTAGAAAAATTTAGATGCTATCCATAGCCACACACTTAATAGATGTAAAGGCAGGTGTAGAAATTCATCTATACATGCATTCCAAAACTGACAACATTAGATAAGCTGTCAGATAGATTAGATCATTGTCAAACTGAACAATTTAAAAATGTGAATTCTTGACTTTCATTAATGCGCATAGCTTGTCATCATACAATTTTGCAGAATTATAATAGGCAAAATAGAAAGGAATAATGAATCTTGTTCCAGCGGTCTTGCGTCACAAATACCTATCTTCCGAAGTAACTTTATACATTCTTCTACAAATTTTAATATTCTATGGTGATTTTTGGCTAGGCCAGCGACAATCAGGGTTCGTACACTTTTCTGCACACGGAAATTAAGTACTTTTAAAGATCATTAATGAAAAAAAATTAAGGACCTATGCAGTGGCGTAGCGAGCATAACTGGCACCCGGGGCAAAATACCTTTTTTGGCGGCCCCCCCCCAAAAAACACTTACAGTAATATAATGTATAGAATAAATTCATAATAAGAAAATAATGCAAATAATAATAAAATGCTGAATCTGCCATAAAATACTCTAAAATATATTAAGAACAGTCACTACCTAACTACACTAGCATTGGATTCGGAAAATGCATCTGTGTCGGCGGAAAAATCAGTTTTTAAACAATTAAAAGTTTAATGTATATTATAGATAAGTAAATATATTTATTAACAAAAATATAGTATTATAATACATTAATATAATTAATTACTATGTATACATTTTTCTCGTCTTGGATGAAGCAAATTTATCAATTACTTCATCAAAGTCGGTCATTTTAAATTTTTCTCTTTCCACATTTAAAAATGCTAGATGGCTTAGGGGATCTTGTCCTATTGTCGATTGTAAATATGTCAAAATTTATTTTAATTTGCTGAACGAACGTTCATAGCCAGCATTTGATAATGAAATAGTAAGGAGTATTTGAAGTGCTACTCTTTGGTTTGGAAAAACATTTTCTCCATAATGGACTTTTAGGTTCAGTTTCTTTTCTACTGTGGAATAACATCTTGCAAACATACACTGCTCAAAAGAATTAGGGGACATTGCGAGTTCGGTATTAAATAAACGTATAATCGACAAACTTTTTAACAAAAGGAAAAAGAAAAGATTATAAAGGAAAATTATAACGTTTACTAAGTTGGGAATATGCAAATTTAGCCTGTGACATCGGAAACTATGCGTTTTACATAAGGAGTAAGGAGCAACCTGCAACATTCTTTTTTAGTAGGAGACTAAAAACAGCTGACATGCATTGAATGCTTTGTACCAGTGAATATACGATGTCTCAGCAAGATGACTTAGTTTATCGGTAACCAGGGAGAGCATCAATCGTTTACAGGATAGTCAAACGCTATCCATTATAGTGGAAGCATTACGAGTTTCCCAAAATATCATTTCCAGACTATGGAATAGGTTTTTTTAGAAACTGCATAAGTTTGAGGAATCCGGGACAAGGTCGTGTTATCATTTTAAAATAAAAAACGGGAGTTACACGTACATTTCGTTTAAAACAATAAAAATATATCTCTGTTTTAGAGTTTTAGAAAGCGTTTTAAGATATTTGGGTCAGAATACGTTTTTTGGGAGTATTACACAATTTTATTACACATTTTGTCAGACAAATCAAGAAAATAAGTAATTAAATATATTACAATAATTATTAATTTTAAATATATTTTCCAGAAATCAATCGAAACAAAAACTGAAATTTTCTGGAAAATCTTCTTCGGAGACCATTTGGCGCCCCTCTGCGAACGGCACCCGGGGCATCATACACCCCCTTGCTCCCCCCCCCTTTGCTACGCCCCTGGACCTATGAGCATATGGGAACTGAATTCAATTAAAAATATTATTCATGCCTGAATTTCACTTTTCTAATACCATACTAAAAATAAAATAGATCCATAAGTAGTATGGATTATTACCGAACGTAAATTGATTAACATAATTATTAATAAAGTTTTAGAATAAAATAAACTTCATGCAGTTTATCAAGTAGCATTAAATATTTATTTATAATAGGTTGGACATATTTGAAAGAAAATAAGTGACGTTTATGTTTTACTAATAGTTAGTTTTATGTTGATTTTTTTATGTCTTATTTTGTCACATACTTGATCAGTCTAAAGCAGAGGTTCTCAACCGGTGGTATGCAAGAAAAAGTATGTCCACAAAAAGAAGCAAAGTATTTTTAACTATTTATTTCAAAAATTAAAACCTCAACATCCTGATTGAGTTTTTTCTCTACCACTAATAAATTGATGCGATCTGAGCTTTGTTCACGAGTGGTGGTGGTAGTAGTACTTTGGTGGTACTAAAGGTTTTCAATTTCTATTCAGATGGTACACATTAATCAAAAGGTTGAGAACCGCTTGTCTAGAGGTTTAGTAAATAGCAGGTAGATTTTATGTCAAACGGCATAGGTTAAAACGAGAAGTATCATAATCAGCATTATTCATAATAAAAGACTGAATGTTATCACCGCTGCTGCTTGTCTAGAGAGAGACCTGCTGATTAGAACAAACTTGAAAGGCATGATGTAGGCATGATGTAGGCATGGTTCGCAAGTGCTAAAAGTTAGTCAGGCTCTGATGCAGTTAGTGTCATAGCTTCGTGTAGAGTTCCAGGGCTTGTAACCCAGTTAATATACTTTCAGGTTCCAATAAGCCATTAAAGCACCAGAGGTGATAAGCTGTTTTGTATTAAGTCTCACTAGATGCAAAGAATAAGCTTTACTTGAATTTCTACATTTTTAAATTTTATCTTGTAACCACAGTGATTATTAATTAAAGGCAACAACTCGCTTTATTATGTAGAAATAATTTTTAAGGGTAAGCAGTTAGTTATACAGAATTAAATTAGATAAATAGGTAACCTTAGTCATTATGGATTTACATGGCCACTACTAAATTTTATTTTTTAACATATTTGTTTAAAAAAAGCCCTATTAAAATCAAAATCTAATAAAATTCCACAGTTTAAAATACATGTTTATGACACTGATTCTTAAACGATAGAAAAATAATTACACATTAAAAGCTAAAAAACATTTATGTTTTGTTAAAACAATACTCAACAAAATATTTATCAGTCATTTTAATTTGAAGCCTTCCCAAACATTTTAAATAGTTTATACCGATTTCCTTCTCTTTAAGCATATTTTCTAACAATAATTAGAGATTTTTCTCAATATGCAAACCAATGCTCTCGCTAGTTTCTGCGTGCTTTATCTCCTAATTTGTCAACCTCTCCACAATGTACCTATGAGGGTTTACTTGATCTGATAAAAGTTAAATAGTCCAAAACCCCCCATAGAGAAGCAAATTATCACTATGTCTGAAAGTAACTACAATATCGGACAAAAGTTTAAATAAGCCTCTTACTTGAAAAGAACTTAGAACAAACATAAACGCATGTTCTGATGCTAACAAAGTCAATTATATATCACGGTGACATAATTAAACAAGAACAGTCAAATTCAAACTAAAGAGTTGGACTAGTGGTAAAAAATTACAAAATTTAATTTTAATTTAATCTGGCTCAGTAACTCTATCATATGAAGAAACAGAAATGGAAAATTATAGTAAAGGCTGAAATCATAAAATAGCGTAATTTACATAATAATAACTGCACATATCTTTGAAGAATAATTTTCTTTATGTATTCAGTTTCTTTCTTCAGCATGTTTCTTTTTCATTTTAGAATTTTTGGATTTAATTAAGGATTTCTGTTTTTCTAAAATCACTAAATGCATAGAAAAAGTGAATAATTAATTTCTTTATTAATATGGAATTCAGAAGAAATATGAAATATATATATGGTAAAGGCCGGTTACAGAGCTGATGTGGCAGAATTTTTAGAATTTAGTGACACACCAAACAACAAAATCTAGAAATGGCAAAACTTTTAGAATTTAGACAGGCATTGGAAGCAGAATTTAGAAAGGCACTATGCAGTCGAATTTAGGATCCACAGAGATTGCATCAAATGGGAAAATGTGTATGATGCATAGCTCTGTGTGTGATGCATT